TTGGGCGCGGAGGTGGTAGGGGAGGAGTTCACTTTTTGTGTTTTTGCTTAAAGAAGGCAGATTTGGTGGGCAGGGTTGGGACAGTGGGGCAGGGGGTGGGGAGTCTTAGGGTAGGGGGGAGGTGCTGAATCACTTTTGTTATTTTCCTGAAATAGAGGGTTCATAGGTCAGATAAGCCCAGGAAACTGGTCTGATAAGGTCTCTAGGTAGGATAGTCCCACCCGCTTTGAGGGGTGGCTGAGTCTTGAGTGTGTGTGTGTGTGTGTGTGTGTGTGTGTGTGTGTGACATGGACTAGTTCAGTCCTCTGCTGCTTCTTCTCTTCTGCCTCTGAGACTCAGCTTAGAGCTCCCAGAGCCACAGGCTGCCCGGAAGTTGAGAACACAGGCTCCAGCGTCAGAGTGCATTTCTGTTGTGTGACTGGCTGCCCATCTGTAAAGTGGGCTCCATCCTCATTGATGCTTCCCCTGTCACAAACCCTAAGGCAATATAGGCAATGCTTAGAGCAGGGGGCTTGTGTCAGTGGATGTGATTTACTCCTTATATTTGTGCAGGGGAGCATGGGGGCGGAGTCCTGGGCTCTGCTCAAGGTCTCAGTTTTGTAGGAGTGTCTATTCCAGAGATTATCAGTTGCTTTTTGGTATGAGTATTAAAATTTTGTCTTTTAGATTCTAAGGGACTAAAGTAGCGATCAGTGGTTAAAACTGTGTGTATGTCTGATATTGGAGATCCAGAACTTTTTAGATACATATTATTCATGCTTCTTGAAATTCAAAAGTATCAGTAATATAATATGATCTACTTATAATATGATCTACTTATAATATGATCTACTTAATTTTAAGTTAAGTAGTACTTGATTTCTTTGGGTTTTAGGCCACACCCAGCAGTGCTTAGAGGTTGCTCCTGGTTCTGTGCTCAGGGGTCACCAAAGGTGGGGCTTGGGACCATATGCAGTGTTAAGGAGCAAAACCAGATTTGCCCCATGCAGGGCAAGAACCTTTGCCCCATATTATCTCTTTGATCCCTAATTAGTAATTAATTTGGGGGGGGTATTTTGGCTTTGGGACCACACCTAGCAGTGCTCAGTGCTTACTCCTGGCTTTGTGTTCAGGACCATACTCGAGGACGATATATGGTGCAAGGGATTAGACTAGACTTGGCTGCATGCAAAGCACACACCACAACTCCTGTCCTCTCACTCTGGCCTCCTAATTAGTAGTTTTAAATGCTTCCTGAGCCTACTTTTCAGTAAGGTATTTTACTAATACAAGAGCATAAACAATAAGGCTGCTCTTATTTCACATTCAGGCCTCTTCTTTTTTCATTTAATGTTTGCAAGACTTAAGCATTCCAATTTAAAAAGTAATTGCCCGCCGCGTCAGTGGAAATTGCTTTCTGCTGCAAGGTACCGTGCTCCTGACTGCAAGTGGCTTAAGCCTTGATGAATGAGATTGATTTTCCCCCCTCCCAGGAAGTCAGGAGCCAGGCCTTGGTTTCAGCCTTAGTCTCCAGGAATCCGTCCCTCTTCCTTCTGCCAAGCCCATTTGGTTCTGTTTCGTGAGGGCAGATGATTACCACCGCTCTGCACTCCCCCTTTTGGGTCAGGGAAGGAGGAAGCGGAAATGAGGTCCCCCAGCCTGTCACTTCCTTCCTGGATGCCAGCATCCGGGGCTGTTCCCTTTGCTCCCCATTGGCCAGGAACGGGTCACGTGACCAATCCAAGCCCCCAAGGAAACAGGGGAAGCAGGGACATTTTTCCGCTACAAATTCTGGGTTCTGTAGCACATGAAGTGGGAGTGGAGGAATAGGATGAAGATGGGATTGACATCTATAGCTCTGGCTGTCAGAAACAACGATCGGAAAGTGCTGTCTTACTCCTAATGGAGGTGAGGTGACAGTTTGCCACTGCTCCTGAGAAGCCAGGCCTCCCTTATTGGGAGACTTCTTGTTAGGAAAATTGTGCGCATTAAAATTGGGAAAATCTTAAAACAACACATTAGCAGAATGTAGAGTAGGTGGCTCATGTTTAGATTGAGTGCAGAGGAATTCAGACCCCTGTCCCCTGTCCTGGCTGTGAGGAGCTGACCTCACAGGGCAGGGAAGATCCCATCTGTAAGGATGGTTGCTTGAGAACACTACAGGTGGAGAAGATGTCTAAGAAGGGTCAAGAGTTTGGGGAAGGGAGGATCCTCCCAGGATGGGAGATGCATGCTGAAAGTAGACTATAGACTGAACATGATTGCTACTCAATTCCTCTTTTGCAAACCACAGCACCCAAAAAGAGAGAGAGAACAAAAGGGAATGCCCTGCCACAGAGGCAGGGTGGGATGGGGGGGATGGAGGGTGGGAGGGATGCTGGGATCATTGGTGGTGGAGAATTGGCACTGGTGGAGGGATGGGTACTCGATCACTGTATAACTGAAACCCAAGCACAAAAATTTGTAAGTCTACAACTGTACCTCATGGTGTTTCACTAATAAAAATTTTAAAAAAATTTTTAAAAACTTAAAAATTAAAAAAAAGAGTTTGGGGGAGGGACAGAGTCTTAAGGGGATTGAGGTATAAAGTGATGGGAGGCAGAACTGAGCAAATAAGGGAGTAAGAATGGTCTACCCCAAGGGGGTGACTGAGAAGGGGAGGGAAGCACCAGACCCTTCGTTTCCTCATCTGAGTGCTTCGTTTTGGCAAGGTACATTTCCATCAGCTGCTAAGCTTGAGCTCCAAAGATGATAGGCTGGTAAGAGCCATAGTACAGTGGGTAGGGTGCGTGCCTGGCACATGGCCAACCTGGGTTTGATCCCTGGGACCCCCTATGGTCCCCAGAGCTTGCCAGGAGTGATCCTGAGCACAGAGCCAGGACTAAGTCCCGAGCACTGCAGGGTGTGACTCCGAAAGAAATACCCAAGAGAACCAAAGATGAATGGAAGGGTTTGGCTTGACTAGGAGGTGCTCGCCGTGTACCAGGGATCTGGACATGGGTGTATGTGTGTGTGAAAAGCTCCTGTTGGACCAATGGCCACTGTAATGGACGAGCTGGACTGGAAGAGTCCAAGAAGAGTTGGACTGAACTAGCCCATCTGAAGCCGCCCGACCAGGGCCCTTAAGGGGGAAGCCAGGTAGTGGCTTTTACCAGCCCTTTTGGGGCTAGTGTGGTCAGGAGAAATGACACCACATCACCTGGGTAGGGGCCCGCCTGCTCCCGCCTCAGTCCACGGGAGCAGCGTCAGGTCCGGAAGTGGTGTAAGCCCTACAGTAGAGAGGATGGTGCTTCTGGAAATGCTGAGCCGTGACCACCACCCCCCCCCCCCCCAAGAGAGCCCCATGGAGGGATCAGAGCTGCGGGTCCTGGTCATAAAGGGAAGGGGAGCACGGAGGTGGGAGGTGGGGTGGCGCGGGTGTGGTCAGCTTCCCTCACCTCCAATCCCGTTAGGGCTCTTAACGTTTCAAGGGGTCGCTTGTTCCTGCCCTGGTCATGCTGTGCCCCTCATCCAGAGGCTATGGCAGGCACAGCAGCTCTAGGACCCTTCTGGTCTCCCGCCTTCCTCTGCCTCCCCCAGGGAGGTCCCAGTGCCTGGGACCAGATTGTGCTGGAAATTTCTGCCCGAGGCAGGGAAGGGGCAAGGTTCTGGGAGGTGCTGCTGTTGGGCTGGGAGGAGAGGGACAGACCTTGCCGGTCAACTCCTGTCACTCAAGACCCAGTCCTGGTCAGGAAACGCAAGTCTTCATGAGTCATTATGACTCAGAATCTGGTTGGTGGTGGGGGGTTCCCTATTTTCTTTAGTTTTAGGGGGTTTTTTTGGGGGGGGGGCGGGGGACACACCTGGTAATAGTCAGAATTTCCTCCTGGCTCTGCACTCAGGAGCCACTCCTGGTGGATTTAGGGGACTAGATGAGGTGCTGGGGATTGAATTCGGATTGCAGTGTGCAAGGCAAAATGTCCGACACACTGTACTATTGGTCCGGCCCCAGGGGGGTGTCCTTGTTTTCTGCCAAGGCTGTAGGTGGGTAGGTAACCTGTGTGTGCCTTCCAAGGAGGGCTCTGTCCTGACCGCTGCCTGCTCGGAGTTTACATGGTGGCGGGGTGTCTTCATGAGGGAGCTGGGGCAGGGAGCATTCTGGAAGGTGGTGTGGACGCCCTCCTCACCATGCTGGAGGCCTTGGAAAGGACGTCTATCCTGAAGTAGAGGTCACTGCAGAGTAGCCGCTGCTCCGTCTTCTTCAAGACCACCTGCACCCGGGCTCCGGGAGTCGCTGGATTGGGTTCTAGAGATTCCCTTGGAAGGGAGCTGGGTCAGGGGCTTACCTTGCCCACAGTATCCAAAATACCCTTTCTGGCACCATCCACGTTCCCGCCAGGAGGGATCCTGAGCACACACCCAGGAGTAAGCCCCGAGCATGGCCAGGTGTGGCTCAGAACCCAAACAAATAAACAAACAAAACCCACAAGCTCCTGCAGTCACTTTAGGGATCAAATCAGGACCTCCCACCTACTCTACCTCTGAGCCCCCTCTGACTTCCACCCCGGGCTCTTTAAGAGAATAAAGTTTTTTTTCTGTTTTTTTTTTTTTTTTTTTTTGCTTTTTGGGTCATACCTGGCGATGCACAGGGGTCACTCCTATCTCTGCACTCAGGAGTCACTCCTGGCGGTGCTCATGGGACCATATGGGATGCTGGGAATCGAACCGGGTCGGCGGCGTACAAGGCAAATGCCCCACCCGCTGTGCTATCTCTCAAGCCCCAAGAGAATAAAGTTTGAGGAGCTCCTGGGAGCTCCCTTTGCTCCCCCGGCGGGCTGGGCATGTTCTGCTTCTGGCCTCTCTGCAGCCTCAGCTCAGGAGAGAAAGACATGAGCTGCGCTGGGGGTGGATTTCAAGAGTGTCCAGCATCTAGGAAGGACCCAGTTGGCAGTTGGTGCCTGTCAGTTGTCGGGAGGATGCTGAGATGCCAGGATTGGACGCGTCCACCATGCCTGAGCCGTTCTCCCTTCTCTTCCTCGCAGGAGTGCGCCTGGACCGCGTGCGTGGCGGCCGCCAGAAGTACAAGCGCCGGCTGGACTCGGAGAGCAGCCCGTACCTGAGCCTGCAGATCTCGCCGCCCACTAAGAAGCCACGTGAGTTCCGGGGACCCCAGCACCTGTCCACCGCCCAGCTGGGGATCCGGGCCAGTTCAGCGCCTGGGGCTGGGGTGGCTCCGGTCACCTCTACTCCATGGCCTTTCCGTTGGGAGGTGACACTGCATCCTCTTACCCAAACCTCAAAGCTTCACCCCTTGGGGGAAGTCACCAGGCAGCAGCCCTTACAGGGACGTTTTTCAGTCCCTCAGAGCCACCGTGGGCCACTCTGGACTCCCCAAGAAACCGTTTTCTCCCCACCACTGTCCCCTGTCACTCTTTCTGTCTCTCTGTGTCTCTGTATCTCTCTGTCTCTGTCTTTCTCTGTCTCTGTGTCTCTGTCTCTCTCTGTCTCTCTCTGTCTGACTCTGTCTCTGTTTCTCTATCTGACTCTCTGTCTCTGACTCTCTGTTTCTGTCTCTCTCTGTCTCTCTGTCTCTGTCTTTGTCTCTGTTTCTGTCTCTCTCCTTCCCTCTCTCCCTAACAGCAGTTCTTTCCTTGCCTTGTCGCAGTGACCAAGATTGTGTCGTACCTGCTGGTGGCCGAGCCCGACAAGCTGTACGCCATGCCTCCCCCCGGCATGCCCGAGGGTGACATCAAAGCCCTGACCACGCTGTGTGACCTGGCAGACCGGGAGCTGGTGGTCATCATTGGCTGGGCCAAGCACATTCCTGGTGAGTGGGACCTGGACTGTGGTCCTGGGCCAGTGGTGCTTCTCGGGGCTGCTTTTCTCTCCGGGTGCTGTCTGGAGTTACCAGAGAGACGTCCAGAGGGCCGAGGGCTCTTGGGAACCACTAGAGGGGCTCTGAACGTGTGGATCACAGGTGAGGCTCAGGGCAAGTGCTCTGAGTCACTGCAGGCCACAGAAACAGGCCTAAGCTGTCTAGATCTGTCAGGGCCACGCTAGGAAACCAGGCAGAGGCTGCACAGGCTCTTGCCCATCTTCCGTCAGGCACGAGGTGGGAAGCCATAGGGACATTGGGGCATAGGGGGAGGGGTGGGGCTGCTGGTTTAAGTGCTGGGTCTGCAGCACATGGACTGTGTCTCATGGGGAACCGGGAAGCCCAGTGGTGAGAGCCACCTTCACGGGCCTCAGGAAGCTGATGCTGGTGTGTGCGTGGGAAGCCAGAGCAGCCCCCCTCTCAGATTGTATCTGCTGATGTCAGTGTTGCTGCTTGCATGAACCTTCAAGAGACCCTTTAGGTTCTAGGATTGCAGAGTATCACTGGGGTGGTGTGGCTCAGTGGTAAGGCTCTGCTAGGAGAGAGACATCTACACATCTACAGTCTTTCTGTCTCTCTTCTCCCTCCTGCTCCCTCTCTTTCCCTTTCCTTCTCCCTCTCTCCTGCCTGTCTTTTTCTCCTCTCCTCCCCTCCCCTCCCCTCCTCTCCTTTCCTCTCCTCTTTTCCCCTCCCCTCCTTCTCTCTCTCTCTCTCTCTCTCTCTCTCTCTCTCTCTCTCTCTCTCTCTCTCTCTCTCTCTCTCTCTCTCACACACACACACACACACACCCCAAACCATTTTTGTTCTGGAAAACGCATTGAGCATTTTCCCAATGATAGGAACTTTTCCTTTTAGCACAGCGGGTAGAGCGTCTGCCTTGCACGCAGCCAACATGGCCGACCCGAGTTCGATTCCTCCGCCCCTCTCGGAGAGCCCAGCAAGCTACCGAGAGTATTCGATATGCCAGACTCAGTAACAACAAAGTCTCCAATGGAGACGTTACTGGGCCCGCTCGAGCAAATCGATGATCAATGGGAGGGCCTTTTACATTGTCTTCTACCCCCCAATCCCCCATAGTAGATTTTTTTCCTTCCTGATAGCTGATGTGCTCTGGTTTCTCGCCAGCACCAAATACTCTACCTTGCACACATGTGGGGGATCTTGGTACTGTATACATGGTTGAATCTGAGCCCCCTTTTAGTAACTGAGTTCTGGTGTGTGAGCACTTCCTGTTTCTGCAGTCTTTCTGCATTTGGTATGCTTGGTCAGGTAATAGGTGCGCAGAGCTGAGGTACTGGGCTGTCCTCTTACCAAGCCTCAAAGCTTCATCCCTTGGGGGAAGTCACCAGGCAGCAGCCCTTACAGGGACATTTTTCAGTCTCTCAGTGCCACTGTGGGCCACTCTGGCTTTAGGGGAGGGGGATACCTAGCACAAGTGACCACCCTGGATCCCCCAAGAAACCCATTTCTCCCCCATCCCCTGCCCCCCCCCCCCCCCCCCCCACACACGTCCTCGTAGGAGACACATTGTGCATGTGGTGGATAGAAAGGAGGAGGTGGAACTGTGGTCACTTAGCCTCAGGAAGCCCAGAATTCCCTCCAAGGTATCCCCCGGGTAGCCCCAGGGCATGCTGGGGATGGGGGATCTGGGCCAGCGCCTCCTTCCTAAGGAGCTCAGCTTCTTGGGATTAGGGCTGGTGGGTTCTGAATCTGCCCTGTGCTGGGTCAGCACGGGTGTAGGGTCAGGCTTAGATACCTCAGCCTGGATTGTTCCACTAACCCAGGGCCAAATCGGGTACAATTCCCCTCGCTCCCCCCCTCCTTAACGCCCCCCCCATCCACTGCTGCATGCTGGTGCTGGCTCACGAGTGACCCCTGGAGGTCCTGGGGGTTACTGCTCCCCTTCACCCCTACCTCCCCAGAGGTGGGGTGTTGTCTCCCCTGGACCCATTTTCCTGTGCCCGCTCTCCAGCCCCTTCTGCCTGGCCTTTCGGGTATCTGCTGCGGGCACCTTGGTCCACCCGGGCCTAGGTACCATCGGCACTGACCCTATGGACAGGTCTGATTTTTTTTTTCTGGGCTTCAGTGACCTCCCCTGTGAAGTGGGGGCCCTGTGGGCCCCTCCCAGAGTGGACACTTGACCAGCCAGTGCCCGGGGTTTGTCTGGCCCTGAGTATAGTATAAGTGAAAGGCCACTTTCCCACATCACCTCCTTGTCCAAAGCAGACTAGTTTTTTGCAGAAACACGGGAGGCTGGTGATAGAGTTCAGTGGGCAGAGCGTGTGCGCACATGCAGAAGGCCTGGGTCAAGTCCCAGTCCCACAGGGTTCGACTAGGGGTGCCCCTCCCCTCCCAAATAAACCCAGGAATGCTCTGTTTTGAATTGAATGCTAATGGCATAGGTCCCATACTCTCGCAGTGAAATTATTTGGGCTGACCTTCCAGTGTTTAAGGCAAAACAAATTAGTGGAGGCTGCTGGTAAAACTCTTATTAATAAAAGTAGCTGCTGGGTTTAAAATTAACCTGAGGGGCTGGAGTGATAGCACAGCAGGTAGGGTGTTTGCCTTGCACATGGCTGACCCGAGTTTGAGTCCCAGCATCTCCTATGGTCCCCTGAGCACTGCCAGGAGTAATTCCTGAGTGCAGAGCCAGGAATAACCCTTGTGCATGGTCGGGTGTGACCCAAAAAGCAAAATGATAATAATAATAATAATAATAATAATAATAATTACTGAGAGGCAGTAGAACAGGGGACAGGGGACTGTGTGTGTTTTGGGGGGAGAGGGCAGAACAGCAGCAGCCTGGGGACCTCCAGGACTGACCACTGGGTGGGGATGTGAAGGGCAAGCTCCAGAGGACCCCTGGCAGAGGGCACTCGTATTTCTGCAGGGCATTCCAGAGACTGATAGCTCCCAGGGGTGAGGGGGGTGATCCTGAGCTTGAACATGGGAGCCTTTCCTTGGCCAACCCCGGGCTGGTTGAAAAATCCTCAGGGTGGCCATAGCGACCAAGCTGGACCAGTGTGGAGCCTTGGCCTGAGACACTGGCGTGTGCTGTGAATGTTTGAGTCCCTTCGAGGGTCTCTCGCTGTAGGTGCGGGGAGGCGAGGTGGGGGGGGGCTTCTAGGACAGCCCCCATAGTGCTGAGAGGCCACACAGAGCTGGGATGGAGCCCAGGTGCCCCTGCCCGCTTGCTTCCCAGCAGGTTTGTCCCTTTGTCCCTTGAGTTACTCCCAAGCCACCCCCCAGAAGTGAAGCATCAGACCAGAGTACCCCTGTGAGTTGCAACCTCCCTACCTCCCACCCCCTCACCCCCCTCCGGGGATTCCTGGCTGGATTGTCCAGGCAGCCCATCCAGGCGGGCCTTGGGGGACTCTCCGCCTGCCTCTGGCTCCCCCACCCCCGGCTCTGACTTGTGTGCAGCAGCCTCTGGGTGGAGGACAGAGCCCCCGTGGGTCTGCTCCCAGGTAGCCCCGTCTGGCTCACGCTGCGGATGAAATATGGGCTCGCGCATGACAGCAGCTGCGTCCGGAGTGGCCTCGGATCCTATAATTACATCTCCCTTTATTACCTCTGCTAATGGCCCTCCAGGTCGACAGAAACGATAATAAATTAACAGATTATGAACTCCACTTGCCACAAATTATGTGCTTTTTTTTTCTTTCTTCAAATTCAAGAAGCTCATGCTTTTAAGGGGGTGGGGGTGCCCGAGACAAGCCCGGGTGATGGGGAGCAACTTTGTGTGTGTGTGTGTGTGTGTGTGTGTGTGTGTGTCTGTGTCTGTGTGTCTGTGTATGTGTGGTGGTTGTTGGGGGAGGGGGGGAGTCAGCCCAGCATCCTGGAAGAGAGCGAACACCTGACCTCCAGGGGTCAGCCAGATGCCAGGGCGGGCCCTGCAGTGCCTGGGATCTGGGTGACATCCCAACCTCTCCCTCAGCCCCCCTCCCGTTCAGAATTGCTCATCCTGCGTGTGGAGGAGGAGCCCCAGCTGGATGGAAAAGCTGAAGTGAAGGGTGCTCCTTGAGGGGCAGGGAGCACTGACTCTCATCCCTTTGTTTGGATTTGAATAAGAGGAGGAATTTGTGTTCCCAGTAATTGTGGGTGTGATGGGACAGTGCTTGTGTTTGTGTGTTGGGGGAGGGGGCAGCACCCAAGGGGTGCCTGCCAGGGGATCAGCGCGTGTTCTAGGCGTTTCCCTGTTCAGTGGAATCCCACCTTGAATGCTACTTTTATTCCCATTCGACGGATGAGGAACCAGGGACTTAGAGGTGGCCCGGGGTGGGGTCCCAGCGGGTGGTGCCCAGAGGCCAGTGCTATCTCCAGCTTTCTTGGGTTTTGTTTTTTGTTTTGAGGCCACACCTGGCTGTGCTCAGGGGTTCTTCCTGACTGCTCGCAGGAGTCACTCCTGGCGATGCTCAGGGGACCATGTGGGATGCCGGAGATTGAACCTGGGTCCTCGGTTTGCAAGGCAAATACCCCACCCACTGTGCTATGGCTCAGCCTTGAGTCCAGTGTCTGCTTCTTCTCCTTCACAGCTCCCCTGGGGCCCTTGATTTCATGCCACCACTTCTGTTTACACGAAAGCTGCTTGCATGTGTGATGAGCGACCTCTAAGGCTTGTGTGGCTCAGGGTCATTTCAGAGGGACCCAGCAGACGCTCCATGAATGTGAATGTTCCTCTCAGTATCCTGTTGCTTTCCTTCTAGAAGGAACCCCTGGCAGTGGATTAGTGAATTGCCAGGTTGAAGGAAAACAGACCTTTAAAAAACTTGATCCTGGTGGTGGGAAGTTAGACGCTGGTGGAGATAGGTCTTGGAACTGTGTATGATTAAAACCCAGTCATGAACCGCTTTGTAACCATATATCTCAGTTACTTTGTAACTGTGTGGTTCAATTAAAAAAAAAAAGCAACTGTTGTTTTGAGGCCAGTGCTCAGAGACCACGCCCAGTCACCATGTGGTAAGGGTGTAGACTGGTACCACTCAACATTTTTGGGGCGAGTGAGGTTCCTTGTCCAGACATGCTCAGGGCTTATTACTGGCTCTGCACTCAGAGATCACACCCTGGTGGGCTTCGGGGACCATATGGGGTGCTGGAGATCAAACCCAACCCCCCCCTTAGGTTCAAACACCCCACTGTTGTACTCTCCACTTCCTTCTACCCACACCCCCAACTCAGCTCTGGAAGTCACCTCTGCTGCTCAGAGCAGGTCCTGATTTATGCAGCTGTTTGCAGATTTTTTGCTTGTTTGTTTGTTTTGTGTTTTTGTTTTGGGCCACACCTGAGCGTGTACTCCTCTCTCTAACTCAGGGATCTCTCCTGGCAGGGCTTGGGATCTAGGTGGGATGCCTAGGGATCGAACCCAGGCTGGCTGAGTGCAAGGCAAGCGCCCTCCCCACTGTGCTACTGCTCTGGCCCTATCGTGCTGTTTTTGGGCGTCTCAGACATGAGCAACTTCAAAAGCCAAAACCTGACCAAGAGGTTTGCCTGGAATTTCGTCTGCTGTCCCCATCTCCTCCTGCAGAGGGAAGGGTTTGGTACTCCTACCCCACCCCCACCCCCACTCCATTGTCTTCTTTCGGACATTCACAAGTTGGATCCTTGTGGACATAGGGGGAGGTGTGTCCATCCAGGTAGGGACAAGTGGGGAGTGTGGAGGTGTGCTGGGCTCAGCTGCACTCACAGTGGGTGGGGTGGGTTGCATGCCAGGCTCCTCAGCTCACCTGGCTCACTCAGGGTCTGAGAGGAAGAGAGAAGCCAGGGCTGAGGACCCCACACCCCAAGACCAGCCTCACCCAGTGATATGGAACTCCCCAAGGCTCCGTCTCCTCCCAGCAGGTCCCCCCACTGGCCTGTGTGTCTCCCTTGCTGCCTTAGACTCAGGCAGTAAATCCGCTGCCTCTTGGCTCCAGGACTCCACGGTCTGACCATGTCATTGGGACGTGTTTTCTTGTAGCTGGGAATGAAGATGTGGGCATCTGTCTGCTCTCTGTGCTATGGAGTATGAAAGGCATCTCTGAACCCAGATGGGTGCTCTGCATGTGGGTGGGAGGGGACTGTGGTCCCCTGGAGTTTGGGATTCAGCCTCCAGAACCCTGGCCACCCCACTTCAGAGGTCAGTCTCCAAAGCCTCCTTATTTAGACCCCTATCCTCAAAATTTGGAACTGGGCGTTTTCTCAGATCGAAGGAGGGTCTGTGTCTACTTCCTGGGTGGCGGGGTGGTGGTTGAGGGACTTAGTGGTGATGTGTGATGTGCTTTGGTGGAACTGTCTCTCTTGGCTTCAGCTCTCCCGGGGGAGGACCAGTTCCTGTCTGTGCTGGCCCTCCTGTCCTGCCTTCCTGTTGATCCTGGGTGGGTACTGAGCAGGTGCTCAGTTAACATCTGTGGGAGGCAGGAGGGAGCTACATGCCCGGCCCAACCATCTTGCCTTCTTTTCTAGAAGCCTCCTCCTCACCCGCCCTCCCTCGCTGTCACCTTTCAATTAATTCCATTGCCTCTTCCTTTCAGCCCCGCCACCGTCTCCCCTCCCAGTCCGGCCGCCCACGGACCCCTGAGCCGCCCCCCTCCCCCCACGTGCCTGCTGATTGGTATCTGTTAATTAATGTCGCCCAGGGCCTCTCCTGCTCAGAGGCCCGATAAGGGAAATTGGATGTCCATTTCTATCTATCTTTTCTTACCTCCCGGCTTGTCCCGCCACCACACACAGCCACACACCCTCCCAAGCCGGCACGTTGACCCCCTGGGCTCCGGCGTCTCAGCCAGGAGAATCTCTCTTTTGTCCCTCATCCACGGATGCCAGCGGTGCAGGGGTGAGGGACTTCCTCCCTGGACATGTGGGTTGGACCTGAGAGGGAGGGCACGGGCAGAGGGTGGCTGCAGGGTCCAAGGTGAACCCCGAGGGCCTCGTGCATGTCCTGTACATGGGCACTGGGTAGAAAATAGGAACAGCGATTTTCAGAGATGGGGGAAGGCAAGGACTGTGGGTACCCAGACAGATGGGCCTGTTTGGTTTGGTTTGGTTTGGTTTGGTTTGGTTTGGGGGCCACACCTGGCAGTGCTCAAGGGCTGACTCCCGGTGGGCTCTGGGACAATATGGGGTGCCAGGGATCAAACCTGGCAAGTGCCCCACCCGTTGTGCTTTGTGCTTTGAAGCTCAGGACCACATGTCAGGCCACCAGGAAATTGTCCGTGGAAACTGCATCTAAGAGTGTTGTCCATGGAAACTGCATCTAAGAGTGTTGTCTCTCATACCATTGCCCCCCGCCCTGGTGCAGATGTGCTAGGTCAGAAGTGCCATGAGGGCCCAGTGCCAGTTCTGCATCCCCAGCACCCCCCAGAGAGGCCCCAAGTGCGTAGGGCCTTTAGCAGGGGAGCCAGGGGCCTGTAGGCTGCTCTAGTGCCTGACCACCTGGTACAGTGGCCTTGACGGAGCCTCCAGTGTTGGGATCTGCTGCTGCCCACTCCATGCTCCTCATCGCCCTCCTTTTCTTCCTCCTTCACTCCACGTATATCAAGATGCCAATGACTTAATGCCTAGTTCAGTGCATATATAAATACAGACAGAGGCCACACCCAGTGGGCGGCTGGGGGGACAGGGGTCACTCAGCTACTTGGGAGCCACCAGGGCTGCACCTGTTCTCAGGTGTTCTCAGGCGGACTGTAGGGAGCATGTGGTGTTGGGGATCGAACTTGGGGCCTGGCGCTTGCCAGGTGCAGGAGCGCTCTCCTGGCCCCTGTGTCTCATGCTCTGTAGCCACGGTCTCGGGGAGACCTTGGTGTGATCAGAGCAGCCGCTGCCCCCTCTGGAGCCCGTTTCACAGGCTTGGAAACAGGTTTGGAGAAGGGACTTTCTCCTAGTATGCAGAAAGCCCCCAGCTCACGGTCAGAGGGGCTTCTGGGACTCTAGGCTCGTGGGAACAGGCCAGCAGGGTCTGGGAGAACACTGCTGGTGCAGTGACCCTGGGGGATCAGTGTCCTCTGAGCAGGTGAGCCCCTGAGCTCCTGTGGTCCCTGGGGCCCTTTGTGGCCTAATGGCTGGGCTGGACCCCTGCTGGACCACCCTGCACCTCGGCATAAACAGGGCAGCACTGAGGTTCCAGCATTGAACCCCCCAAACCTCCCCTGGTTTGAGCAGAGAGACGGGCCTGGGAAAACGCTCCCAAACCCCCAAACTGGAGGGGCTCCTTAAATCACTCCTTAAATGACACATGCCTTTAATTCCTGCAAAAACCTCTCCAGTTGAAAACTCCCGTGGAACTGAAAGCCAGAATGAGGATAACAACTGTCAATATTGACGGAGCTCTCATGAGCTCTGTCTTTCCACGAATTCCTGCCTCGTGGCAGCGGAGGAACAGGGAGTACAAAGGGAGGGCAGAATCCTGAAGGGCCGCCTGGGGAATTCCTCTCCCCACCCCTGCCCTGGAAGCTGGCCTGACCCCGTGGTCCCCCACCCCTCCCCCCTCTCCCCACAGGCTTCTCCAACCTCTCGCTGGGAGACCAGATGAGCCTGCTGCAGAGTGCCTGGATGGAGATCCTCATCCTGGGCATCGTGTACCGCTCGCTGCCCTACGACGACAAGCTGGTGTACGCGGAGGACTACATCATGGACGAGGAGCACTCCCGCCTGGCGGGGCTGCTGGAGCTCTACCGTGCCATCCTGCAGCTGGTGCGCAGGTACAAGAAGCTCAAGGTGGAGAAGGAGGAGTTTGTGACGCTCAAGGCCCTGGCTCTGGCCAACTCCGGTAAGAGGGGGGTGCAGGGCGCCGGCGGGCTTCATAAAGTCATTTCTGCAGGCCTGGGAGGGCGGGGGCACAGCCCTGAACCTGTGAGTTGAGGCCACTCACTGGGCGAGATGGGGCTGTCCAGGAAGTTGTGTGGACAACCAAGATGGTGCAGGGAGTGGCCTGGGACTGGCATGCCCCATACTCCGTTAGGCCCCTCCTGACACCTTTGCCCCCAGCCAACACAGACACCATAGAGCTCGGGATGCCATGGGCTGGCAGTGGGCCAGTGTTCCTCACTCCCACATGCCTGATGTTGTTCTGTGCTCCAGACCAGTCCCAGGGTTGAGGCTGGGGAACTCCAGTGCCAGGCTGGCCCGTGTCCGATCTGCTTCTCTTCTTCCCCTCCGGCAAGTGGCCTCACACTGTGCCTCAGTTTCTTCATCAGCAAAAGAGGGCCCAGCAGACAGTCCCCCATCTACAAGACGTCTTAGTGGTGGGATGCCACTTCCACGGATCCTTAACCGCATACTTGCTTTGTGCACAAGTTACGCTGTTGAGTGAGTAAGCTGTGAGCTTCACTCTTACACTCATTGGGCAGACTCTCTGTCATCGACCCACTTTACAGACGTGGAAGCAGAGGCTCGAAAGGGAGAGCAAGGTACAACCAGGGTCACACCGTTGTAAGGGGCCAGAGCTGGTGTACCTTCTCTGCATGAGGGAGCCCCAAGACCCAAGACCATATGGTTCCCTCTACCATATATGGCCCTCAAACAAAACCAAAGCCAAAGCGTCAGGCCTAGAATTTAAAAAGAAGAAGAAGAAGAAGAAGAAAAGAAGAAGAAGAAGAAGAAGAAGAAGAGAAAAAAAAAAGAGCGGGGAGGGTCAGGGCTGACCCTCAGACCAAGGTTCTCTGATTCTATAATTGACCCCAGTTTGTAACTGCCTCTTGGTTCTAACAGCAGCAGCAGAGAAAAACCTTCCCAGAGCATCTTGTCCTCGGTCTGACCGAGGACAAAGGAGGCCTCGGGCTCTTACTTAGTGCCAGCACCGCCTGGCTGGATTCTGGGGAGAGAGGCTGGCAGGTATTAGGCAGTGGTGAGAGTATATGGTGTGGTCTGTCCACCGGTGGAGGGCAGGTCCCCCTAGGTGGCTGTTGGAGATAGGACCCTTCCTTGGACGGAGTTAGATGAGAAACACACAGAATTTGTTTTTGTTGTTTTGGGGCCACCCCTGGCTGTGGTCAGGGGTTACTCCTGACTCTGCACTCAGGAAGGACTCTGGGCATTGCTGGGGGATCTTATGGGATGCCTAGGATGGAACCCAGCTTAGCCATATGCAAGGTGGACACCCTCCCCGCTGTACTATCGCTCCTGGGGACACACACAGCCCTGCTGTGCCAGGGCATAGGGTGGAGTTAATTTTCTAAGTCCGGTCAAGTGGATGCAAGTTCAGCTCTGACACTTTGTGGTGCTCCTTTGGGTAAGGGGGTGAGGAGCGGAGAAGAGAGAGCGCCAGCCCCTGGGGGAGCTGGTACCATTTTCCTCTATCTGTCACCTAATGGGCGGCCCCAGAGAAAACTCAGATGCTGCAGGTGCCCTTCAGATCCCTGTGATTGTTCCAAAACCCAAAACAGCACCTTGGACAGCTGCTTTCTTCAGAGATCTCCTTTCATTGGACTGTCAAGGGGCCCAGACTGGCACCCCGGGGCCTCAGTAGCCACCCTCGAGCATGCAGGGGAGCAAAGAGCTGGAGTTTGTGTGGACTAGAACTGGCTACACCGAGGCCGTGGCTGCCTTTTCCTCAACTCTCGCCTCTCCAGACCTGCCTTTCATGCTGCTTTCTCTCGAAAGCTCTTGTCTGGGGCTCTGCTCCCCGGGAGCCTCACCTAATATCAAGAAGGAAGTGTTTTACTATAGTTAAAGTTTCCCTCCCCTCTTTTAATTTTATTTTAAAGTTTCTTGGGCCACACTCAGCAGTGCTCTGGGGTTACTCCTGGCTCTGCATGTTGGAATCACTCCTGGAGGTGCTCGGGGACCATATGGGATGCTGATCAAACCTGGGTCATCACCATGCAAGGCAAATACCCTACCCACTGCACTATTGCGCTAGCCCCTCAAATCCCTTTATTAAAGAAAAAAAATTATGAAAACAGACTAATTAAACAATTGGGGAGGCCGCTCCTCTTGGTGGTTAGGGGCTTCTCCAGGCTCAGTGCTGGGGCCCCACTGCCAGGGAAGCCGGCAGTGCTGCAGCTCTGGAGGGCATGTGCTCGACAGCCCTTTGAGCCTTCTCCCAGCCCAGTACTTAGTTAAACGTTGATCTGCTTCCAGAGGGACCATATCCTCCGGAGGGTTCTGATAGCAGGTCTTCCTGGTCAGTCTCTTGTTTTCCTTGGTATGGCTAGACATCTGGACATGCCACCATCATTGAGCCAGCTATAGCCCTGCCCTTCTTAGTCCTTCCCTAGCCCTTGGGTCAGGCCCCCTGAGCCAGCTATAGCCCTGCCCTTCTTAGTCCCTCCCTAGCCCTTGGGTCAGGCCCCCTCGCTTACTAATATTGTGTTACTGATGCTCAGTCGGGATGGAGGAGCCCTTCCAGTTTTATTATCAGGAACCAAGTCCGTAATCTGCATCAGACTTACTCTGTGCTGGACACTTCTGTGGGTTGTATTGAGCGTAGGGACATTTCTGCATTGCCCCATTTTCTGCAGACAGTTCTGCCACCCTTGCTGGCCCTGCTGCTGCCTCCTTAGAGTGGCTGGGTGGTTAAACGGGAAGATGGGGAGGCGGGGAAGGGGAAGCAGTGGACAGAGGTCCAAGCGCACACACTTCGGTTTGGATGCCCTGGACCTCCTCACACCCACCCTCAAGCTTTTCCGTGAGGGGAGGAGGGTGATGGGAGCACTTCAGCTGGAGCTCCTTCCGGGTGGCTGTGGGGCCCACCAGCCTCCTTCTGTCTTCATCTCCATCTGTGTACATGCCCATGGACACACACACGTGTATGTCTGTCTAGACATGTGCTTGCATACAGATGTTTAGGCACATAGACAAACATCGCATACAGGAATGCACAGATGAACTCCAACACATTCATATGGGTGCATGCATAGGCATGCATGAACATACAGCATATCCACATACAGATAGGTACCCAGGCTCATGCACAAACGCACACGGAAGCGTCGTACACAGCAGTAGGTGTACACACTTATGTGCAGATCCATGCAGTGAAGCTCATAGATGCATATATAGGCAGATCCAGACAGACCTGATTTCTTTAGAACTCTGGTCCCTTTGGCCCAGTCCCAGCTATTTCCAAGCCCCCAGTCCTAACAGTTTTATTCACTTCCCGTTTTCTGCCTGTAATCGATTGCTCCATGATGCATCCAGATCATTAAGCATCACACTTAAGTTCCCCTCCCCCACTGTGAGCTCCTTGTATATGCATGGACACAGGATGTAGCTGGATGGATCTGAAAAAAAAAAAATTCTCTGAGACCCGTATGTATGCACACGACCGCTAAGTATAGGATCCAAGAAAGAGGTTTGAAATGACGCCCCAAGGTTGGTAACTTGCCCAGGCAGTGATGCCGTCATTCATTACCTGTTCTTGAATGCTCGTGCCCAACACACCTTTGGTCATTTACTCTTCTCTGCCCCTTTGTAGAATGTTTTCCTGCTCCGGTTGGACCACTGACAGGACTTAATCAGTTGCATCCTAACTGCTGGGTCACACACATGTCCAAGGGATTTGACCTCATATCTCCAAGAGAAATGGGGGATTCAGACCTCTCATAAGAAAATGGGGAATTTGGGGTTCTTATTATGTCCAAAGACAATGGGGGCCATGGGGGATATGAACCTCTTTGAGAATTGAAGGTTCTGACACAGATCTAGGACGGAGGGAGTACAGTGGCTCTGATGGAGGGTTATTGGCACATTGGTAGTGGTGAACAGCCATTTGAGGAGGCATGCGTGTGTCCCTAAAACATACACTATTGTGAACCGTTGTCTCTATAAAGTAAGACGTTAAAAGCTGCAGCGCAGGGTGGTTGATGCCACCATTTACCAAGAGGAAGGGCCACCGAATCTGAAAATTGGGGATTGACCTTATTTCCGTTGACGACACCTGCACATGCATAGACAGACATAGCAATCCACGTGAGAGGCACAGCCTGATACAACCAGTAGGAACCAGTCTGAGCATGCTTGGTCATGGGAATCCGGAGGGACAGCCCCATGGCATCCCTGCTGAGGGAACAGGACAGGACAGGACCACTCACACTTGGCTCAGCTGACATTGGACTGAAGAGTCAGGCTGTGGGGCATGTCCCCAAAGCACGGCCCCTTGGGAGCCGCCAAAAGCAAGTTTCACCCCAAGTCCCAGCCTTCTCCAAGACGCTCTGGCAGCAGGAGAAATTCATAGCCATTGATTTTGTAATTAACAGTTTATCAATGCCATCGATACAGACTTGCTGATGGATTGCGAAGAAATTAATCTTGCAGTGTTATTTGATTTCATTTGTGGTCGAAGGCAGCTGCCAATTGGGGCCTCCCAGGGGAGGGTGGGCCGGGGGGAGCGGAAGCTGATGGAAGGTGGGGACAGCACGTCTTTGGGGGAGGCTCAGCTGGGAGTGGTGGTGGGGAGGTGCTTCCTGTCCTGTGCACAGAGGCAGCAGCTTGGAGGAACGTGCAATGCAGCCTGAGTCGTGGCCTGTGCTGTGCCCATCCTGTGGGCACTTGGCTCAGTCTTAATGAGTTGCCACGTCCATTAGGTGCTGTGACACCTTGCCGAGCAGCCCTGCCACCATCTCTGCCAAGAGGCGCTCTGAGGAGTGAGGACGTTCACTGAGAGCCTGAGTGACTTGGCCAGGGTCACATGGCATCTGAGACTTCAGGTCTTAGCTGCATCTACCCCCGTTCTCCTAGAGGACCCTTGAGGCTGCATCCCTGGAGGCCCTGCAAGAGGGAGCAGGAGGGGGTCTGTCCGGGTTAGAGGTCACTGGGGTCAGCCAGGTCGGAGGCTGTCACTTGGTAATAAACCAACTAGCATCCCAGGGGCTGCTCTGTTCCTTTTTTTTTTTTTTTAATGAGGGGAGGAGTGAAAGTGGTCACACCTGGCAGTGCCCAGGGGCTGTTTCTGTCCTGACTCAGGAGTGACTCCTTCCTGGCAGTGCTCAGGGAGTCAAACTGGGTTGGCCACATGCCCCTGGTTCTATCTCGTAAGTCCTGACCCCAGCTGTTCTTGGGGGCTCCACTTAGAGCTTTAAGCTCACATGCTCCCTTTCCCTCCTGCCTTGGGTGGGCATTGGGTGTTGCAGTTTGGGGGTGGTAGCTTAGGATATTTGGGGGGCAGGGGTCTCTTTAGTAACTCTCTGGGGCCCAGAAGTCATTCCTGGTAGGCCTCTGCCACCTGGGCCCAAGGATGCAATGCTGCGCGGGCCACCCTAGCTGTGCAGCATGGGGAGACTCAGGCTTTGGGGGAACATCTGGAGGCTGGTTATTTCCCTGAGGGTCAAGAGGTCAGGAGGTGGACCAGGGGAGACCCCCTGTGGGTGCCTCTCTGCCCCGCTAGCATATTTTTTAGACACCCCCCCCCCCCCCGCCATGGTTGGGTTCTAATCCCTTCCCAGGGTTTTAGAGAACACCTGCCAACCCTCTCCTGCAGTGCCCTGGCCCTACTCCCTCCCCATGCCTGCCCTCCACCTGGGCTTGACTCTGGGAGCTGAGCCCTTCATCTGTGTCTGTTTCCCTCCTGGCCCTCTTGAAAGTGCCTGGTGGCAGCCACACAGTACAAGTAGTGGTGATGGTATAACTGTGTTTGGGGTGGGGGGTGGGAGCAGTAGTGGTGGAAATGGAGGGGGGTGCAGTCAGTGGTGGTGGTAATGGTAGGGAGGTGCAGTGGGTGTAGTGGGATGGTAGTGGTGATGGGGAGGGGAGCAGGGATGGTGATTGGTAGTGATGGTAATGGGTGCTGGTGTTCTGGATGAAGGGTGAAGGGAGTGATAGTTACCGGTGATGGCAATGACGTACAGGTTTGATGATGGGGGGGGGGAACTGGTAGGGATAGTGACCGTGTGCTTGGGCCACTAGTCAGGCATGCACTTGGGGACGAGATCTGACTTTGTTTGGGGGCCACTCTAGCTGTGCTCAGGGCTTAACTCCTGGCTCCGATCAGGGGTCACTCCTGGTGGGGCTTGGGGGTGGAGGACCGTAGTGGTGATGGGGATCCAACTGGGTGTGCCCTACCTTCTGTGCTATCTCTCCGGCCCCGAGGACTTATTTAACCTCTGACCTGTGCTGGCGCCACCCTGAGGATGCTGACGCACCTGCTCTTGGGAGTAAATTGACTGAGGGTGATGGGCATGTCAGAGTCCTACTCCCCAAGTCTATTGCGGGGTCCGCTTGGCAGGGCAAGCACCCGTCCACTCACAGTCAAGCCCTTTGTGGTCTTCTGCGACTCCCTTGCAGGGGCAGTTATCCAGAAATGTTCAAGGGGGGTAGGAGAGAGAGACAGAGACAGAGGGAGGAAGAGGGAGGGAGGGAAGGAGAGCCCTGGTAGTCTCTAGCCTTGGAGCTGGTTTCTCCCTTGGCAGGGGGAGCATCCGAAGCGCCCCCCCCCCACCAGCAGAGTCCTGGCCACACCCCCTGACGCTCACCCTTGCGTCCCCAGATTCCATGTACATCGAGGACCTGGAGGCCGTGCAGAAGCTGCAGGACCTGCTGCACGAGGCGCTGCAGGACTACGAGCTGAGCCAGCGCCACGAGGAGCCCCGGAGGACGGGCAAGCTGCTGCTGACGCTGCCCCTGCTGCGGCAGACGGCCGCCAAGGCCGTGCAGCACTTCTACAGCGTCAAGCTGCAGGGCAAGGTGCCCATGCACAAACTCTTCCTGGAGATGCTCGAGGCCAAGGTCTGAGCGCGGCCAGCACCCTCCGCGTGGACACACGGCCACCAGCCTCGCTCGTCCGCGCCTCCCCGAGGAGGGGCTTTCCCGCCCCCATCCTGTCGTGTGCGCGCACGCGCACTCGGACTCCGGGCTGTTGTGGGCGGGAGGCCAGGGGCGGGGCGCAGGGTGCCTGGCTCAGCGGACTGGCCTGGGCCAGGCTGACTCCCCCCCGAGATAGGAGAGCACCGAGGACCCCACCCCCTTCTCCCCTCCAGACCACCAGGACGCAGCATGTACATTTCCTCGCTCCTGTCCCTGACCCCCGACGACCCCCCGGCTTCTCCATCCATGGCCTGGGTGGGCACTGATCTGCTCATGATGCCAGAGGCTTGGCTTGGGGACCCCCTCGGCGGCTTTCCCGCCTTGTAGGAGGTTTTGGGGGGACCCCTTAATAAACCCTGCACCTTCCGAAGTCCAGATCGCTGTTTTGAGGCCAGTTCATTTATACGAGGGTGGCCGCCCTGGAGGCCGGCTGCCTCTCTTCCCCTGGAAATTCCCCCTCAGACCCCAGCCTCTACCTGGAGGCACCCTCAACAGTGGAGTCACCACCAGGATGTCTCTGAACCTGCCTCTGGGTTCTGGCATCCCTTCTGCCTTCCAGCAACCTCAGGGGAGGTGGTGAGCAGCTGCCCGTGGGATGTGGAGAGGTGTGGGGGGGGGTGTCTCCCCTGGGGGCACTCACTGGGTCTTGGACAGCACCCAGAGGGTTGGGCCACATGGACAGGGGTCCCAGTCAATCTTGGAGGAGCACAGAAAGGCCCACGAGTGGAGCTGGGACAGCTGAGGGCCCTGGACGCCCAAACCCCTCTCTGAGAATCACCTGTGCCTCTGGCATCGAGGAAGCATGGCACAGGGCGAAGAGGAAGATGATTCTGGTGCCGTGTGGAGTGACCCAGCAGCCACGGCTGGGGTTTGTGGGCTGAGTGCCAGGGCCCAAGATCTGGGAAGCCACTATCCCAGGCAAACAGAGTGGCTGGGCCCTGGGTCTCTGGGGGTGTTGCTGAGAGCCATGTTGGAACCCATGTGACTGCTGTCTGATTTGCAAGGACCGTCTGAGCGTGCACAGATGGGTGAGGGCCGAGGGGGAACCCTCCTTACTAGTGGCTCCCCTCCAAAGCAGGTGTCTCTGCATGTCCCTTGGCCCATGTTCCCTAGAGGCCTACACTGTTCTGACTGCCCTCCCCATCACCCAGACAGGCAGCCTCTGGTCATGAGCCACCAGGAGGCCACAGACCTTCCCTCCAGTCTCCTGATTTGTCCTGGGAAAGGGCCACTCCTGGGTGGGCCAGCTAGGATGCAGCACCCAGCTCACTGGACAGAGGGTATTCGGTGCTGCAAGTCTGGGGTCCTCAGAGCAACTGTCAGCATCTAAGCTCCCCCCTCCCTCTAGCCCTTGGGGGTGGAGGCAAAGGTTTCAAGCCCAGTTTCCAGCTGTCCCAGGGGCCAGGCACTGAGATCTGCCTTGCTTAGAGAACTGAGCTTTGCTTGGTGGGTTACTCCCCTGCCCCTGCACACGCATACACGCACACACACACACACGCACGCACACACACACATGCCTCTCATCACTTGCTTGAGGAAGTGGAGCGGGGCTGGCCTCACTGCTTGAGACCTTGGTATTCTGGGCCTAGGCCACCCTCTTAACTCGGAAGAGTGTCTGGCTCCAAGCCGTGGTCTAGGGGCTATCTGTGGGCCAGTCTGAACAGCCCTTCCTGGCTGTGACCTGGGTAGCTTGGAACCAGCCATGTACAGACTATATCTACAGCCATGCCCAGTGGCTTGTGGTAGAGGGCAGGTAGGGGAGGTAACACGGCCAGGGTGAATGGGTTGGCAGGCATGTTGTGACCAGAATATCTCAGCGATTTGGGACTCCTTGGTGGGGGGGTGGGGGAGGAGGGTTGCCTGGGTATTCTGGGTCCATTGGATATTCAGAAAGTTTAGGGACCAGAGTTCTCGTTGGAAGTGTCCCTCGTTTGGGGACCTCCTATCAAAAGGGGAAGCTTGAGTTCACAGAATTTATGGCTCCCCCCTCTGCAAACAGAAGGGAACTGGAGTTTGCCTCCAGAACTGCTGTTCCTGGAATGTGTCCAAAGGAAATAGCCTGGCTCAGCTGTCCTCTGGGTTCAGGTCCCCGACGGGAGCCAAGAAATGAAAATCGAAGACTCCAACCCTGGACCAGGTGGTACTGGCTGGGTCCCCACCTCCCCGAGTCTTGGTGGAAACTTTCAGACTGGTGGTGTCACCTGCGAGCCACGATGGGGTGGGGGAGGGTCTTCCGGTTTGAATCTTCGGGAAGCGTCATTTTCAGACGGGAGTGGGACAAGGTGAGGGGAGGCCACATCCGTGGCCGTCGGGTTGGGGCTGCACTTCCTTCTGGACTCATGTTGCCTCCCTACACAGGTGGGAGCTCTTGGGGTGAGGGTGGGGCTGGGGCAGTGCCATACCCGTGATGACCACAGGGCTCATGCGTGGACAGCACCAAAGAAGAGCGCTACGCGGGAAGATTGTTTTATTTTCGGAAAATGAGTCTATGGCTGGAACGGCTTCTGCAGATGTATATATTTTTGAAAGTGGTGGTTCCTCTTGCATCACTCCCCCCGGACTTATCTCTGCCTCTGTGCTCTCCAAAGACCCCCCTGTGTAAATCACATCCCCCTTGGCTGCTTCCGTCCTGGTCCCTTGTATCTAATCTAATAAATACGGAACAGCCTGCTGGACTGCTTAACTGCCTTCACACCTTGTCTGTCATCCCCCCCCCCCCCCCCTAGCTGCACCCCCTGGTGGGCCGGCTCAGCCTGGGAGTTCCTGGGGACTTTCATAAGTCTCAAGAGTCACTTGGCAGCTGGAACGTAACTGAGAAGGAGGATACAGGTCTAAGGAAGCTTGTTTCCGCTGCCTAGACACCTCATTCTTGGCTGTGTCAATTGGCTGTGTCGAGGGGACATGCACAGGGGCCCAAGGCCACCCCTAGCATAGCATGAGGCAACTTTGCAGTGCTGGAAGTCAAACCCAGGGCCGCATGTGTTAGGGTCCACTGCTGGAACAGTATTTTTTTTTTTTCTTTTTTTGGCTCACACTCAGCAATGCACAGGGGTTTACTCCTGGCTCATGCACTCAGGAATCACTCCTGGCAGTATTCAGGGGACCATGTGGAATGCTGGGAATCGAACCCCGGTTGGCCACATGGAAGGCAAACGCCCTACCCGCTGTGCTATCTATCTGCCCCTGGAGCCATATTTCTGATCCTTCTACTATGTAGGCGGGTCAGGCAGCCTCTCCCGACTTGGGTTGGATGACTTGAGGTGAGGTCCTGAGAATATGGAGCTCCTTAGCCCCCGCTGTGCCAGAGACCACCAGTGCCACCCTGGCAGTGCTTGGGGGCCACATAGGGATCAGGTTGGGGTCCCGTGTCTGCTTTGCACAGAGCTCTCTCCTCACTGCCCTACTCATTGTTTTTGGTTTTGGGGCCACACCCAGTGATGTCCTGGTTTTGCACTCAGGAATCACTCCTGGCAGTATTGGGGGACTATATGGGGTGCCAGGGTTTGAACCTGGGTTGGCCACATGCAAGGCAAGCTTCTTACCTGCTGAACTATCTCTCTTCCTCTTTTCTGATACCAGAGAAACAGGCATCACCTCTGATGTAGGTGAACTGCAGTTACTGATGTCTGAGGGGGTGGATGCCATGCATGAAGTGTGTCTGCACAGAGCTCTCCTGCTGTACCAGGCCACACACAGGACCACAGAGGCAGAGGAGGAGCCTGAAAGGAAGCAAAAGATCATTGTGAGGGAGAGACGCTCCAGCCTTCACTAGCAAACTGTATTTGAATCTATATGTGGTCTGCCAGTGGGGCAGGTGCCAGGCAGGGTTTGATCCAGAGGCTCACAAAATCCCCTTATGACCACTTTGATTCTCTCAGCAAAGCCTGGCAAGCTACCCGTGAGGTATTTGATATGCTAAAGACAGTAACAAGTCTCACGATGGAGACGTTACTGGGCCCATTCGAGCAGATCGATGAACAACGGGAGGACAACTGGGAATTGAACCCGGGTTGGCCGCATGCAAGGGAGGACAGTGCTACAGTGCTTTGATTATCTCAGCTCTGCCCTCAGCCTAGCATCCACAGTAGCCTGACGGCTCTCGGCTTTTGGTTTCACTGGGTGAAAGGGCCAGAAAGGAAATTCCTCCCTGCAACTGGCAGGTACCTCAACTGGGTTCTAAACTTAGGAGGAATTTCTGTCCACCATAGGGACCGGCTTGAAATGAGATCATACCCACCACCAGACTTGCTGTCACACTGAAAGGCCCAGATTGCAAGTCTAGGAGGCAGGCAGGCCACCAAACGCAGTGCCCACAGAACTCACATTCGTGGAGAGCTCAAGGTCTGTTGCTTGGCTTGCAAAACGAGTGAGTTGTGGGGGCTGGAGTGATAGCACAGCGGGTAGGGTGTTTGCCTTGCACGCGGTCGACCTGAGATCGATTCCCAGCATCCCATATGGTCCCCTGAGCACCGCCAGGAGTAATTCCTGAGTGCAGAGCCAGGAATAACCCCTGTGCATTGCCAGGTGTGACCCAAAAAGAAACCCCCCCCCAAAAAAAAACCGAGTGAGTTGTTCATTTCCAGAATGCTTGGAAGAGAAGTTCCACACAGCAGTGTTGGAACTTGGTACCCAGCACATCTCATGCATCAGTAACTAGGAAAGAGGGTCGACTGTCACATGGTGCATTGTGATCAAATATATATATTAGATTATCTGGTACTACTTCCGTTCAGACAGAGAGTTGTGTTCAGATGAGCTAATAGCTCGGTTTTCCAAACAATTTAGCTTTGTCTTCTCATTCCTTTCCCAAACATTTAACCTTCATTTATTAGGGCGGGGGAGATGGAAACTTCAAAGAAGGGTGAAAAACACAACGATGGGGCATTGACTCAACAGGTGCCCCCTGAGCCCCTCACCCTACCCTACCGCCCAGTCCTGCATCAGGCCCCGGTGTAGTACAGATACTGCAAAGGTTTGGAACGTGGAGCACATGAGCTGGTGCA